TGATGGCTTTGTAAATAAATGGTCGAAATATGAATGTAGCATTAAAATGCATCTGCACGTAGCAAGCAGATGAGTTTCTTGTTTATCAGTATTAAATATGGCATTTATCCTTTAAACTGATGACTTCGTTAGATCTGACACTGACTGTCAAGGTATCATATAGGAGCAAGGCTCCTTATGACGGAAGTAAAGATACATTTTTCGTTGATGCTTCTGACATTGTAAAGAACTTGCTCTTGCATTTGGAAATAAACCTTGGAGTTTGTGAAAGTATCATGAATGTGAAGGTTCTAGGTAAAAGTACTAAGTAAAAGAGAGTGAGAAAATGTTATATCTATTATTATCTACCTACTTCATATCACTATCTAGTATAAAATTCCTTCAATAAAAAAAATAATATACATCGATGCATAAATATCATTGGAGTTTGAAAAAATTGTGAATTAATATAGTCAAAATTTGATCTTGAAAATGACCGAGTAAATTAATTGTGAAAGATTAATAAACTTCTGTAATCAAAATTTTCATTTAGCAAACATGATTCGTTATATTTATTCTTTATTTTATCAATATTGTCCACAAATAAGTTGATGAAGAAATGAATATACGAAGCTTTTTTTGAAATTTTTAATTATATTTTTGTGTCAGAAAAAATCTTTCATTTTTAAGAATCAATGAAAAATGATTGAAAATTAGCTTAAAATAAATAGAGTAACATTCAAAGTGGTAAATTTCGCTACAATGTTACTGTGAATATCTGAATTGACAGGTTAATTAGGTAAAATAAAATAACTCATGGAGACTCAGTCAAGCATATCGACACTGACCTATTAGCATTACTTGCGTAAGAATTTTCATTGTTTTAAACGTGAATTACGTGCTCAATTTTAGAGATAAACATTCTTTACTTTGCTATTTGTAAATTCTTATCGACGCACTATAAATGTTTATAAAATCCATAATAAAGTGATTGACAATAAAAAGAAAGTATCTAATCAAATCTTTAATAATAAAAAAAAGTTTCATTGAATTTATTTATTTATATATCAACAGATTAATTCTTTTTTTGAATTTCAATTTATTAGAATAATTATTCAAAGTGATAATCCAAAAATAATTTTTCTTATTAACAAGTAATAATTGATTGAATTATTAAAAAAGAGTTCATTTGATTACTAGATTATTTTATTGTTTTTTTTTATTAGAAATCATGATTTTCTTTATTATTAATAATAAAGATTGTGAATAAATTAATCGATATGCCATCTCCTTCATTATTAAAGTCCTCTCAACTCGTTTGATAGAGTGTTTCACGTGCCATTGACATGCTATTGTCGACGCGTCAATCTAATATGTGATTGCCGGTCTGGACATTACGATAGAGTTAAACAAATCACTAGAAGTTCATTCTAATAGATACAGTTAGTTTCATATTTATAATCCATATTCATTGATGCTCTGCATAAATCATTGAAAAATTAATAGATATCTATACTTGATTTTTAAACAAGCTTATTTTCATTCATAAAAAATTTACCACTCATTAGAAGAATGGGCAGTTTAATTACAAGTAAAAATACTTTAACAAATTTGGGAATTAACTTTGCTAAAATAATTGATAAAGTTACGTGTCCTTGGATTAGCGATAAAAAATAAGGTATGTTCAATAAAACGGGACTGTGATAATGCAATTTTACACCAAGAAGCTATCAATGACAATTAGAAAGATAATTCAATTAAAAACGATTAGCATAATCGAGCCCCTCGCATGTCGTCGAAAAACATCAAGTTCTCAAGGATGTTTCTCGTTTAATCATTTTGTATTGAGGAAATGATTATATCCGACAATTCTATTGCATATAATGTCCTTCGTTAGGACATTAGCATTTTAATGTTGTCGTAGGATTACTATAATCGTACTTTGATATGAGAACAATTATGAATAATTTTTGTTATGCTGCAAATCCTACTTATGGCGATAAGACAATTCCTCTCTTTAAGACAAACATTCTTTGAATTTCATTCATCATTTCTATAAAGATAATTACTTATAATTATATCATTAAGTCTATATCTATCATCATGTAAAAAATAATATCGACAATAAATGGTTAATTGTTTACATGCTTTGTAAAAAAGTGAGCAAATAGTTTTATTTTTATTTCAAATTAAACATAAATAAAATTTTAAATAGAAAAAAATAATTTTTTAAATGTAAATGACATTGATTATGTTAAATAGTAATCAAATCGAGTTTTTCTTGACAGTTAATCATTTTATATTATTCTAATAAAACGGGTTAATAAATGTTTTTTTTTCTTTTAAAACAACTTAATATGATTATTAATTAATAAATAAATTAATTTAATTTATTAAAAAGATATATTGCTCCGATGTCCTCTCATTGCCACAATCATGACATGACTTTTTAATTTGTCTTCTTCCGTTACAAAGTCCAACGTCATCTATCAATCCTGTGTCATGAACATTACTTTATTCGTTTCTTATGTTCAAATTTTTTAAATTCATTTGAAAATAGTTTAATGTAATTGATGGTTACATTGCATAAAGTGTAATCTATAAGACACTTGTTCAACATATGTCACACGATATTGATCTTTCGCACCTCCGGTTAATCATAATAGTATCGATAATCAAACAAGAGAGATAAAAAGTCGTAAACCAAACAATAAACAATGAACTAATGACAGGAATTAAATCATTCTGCTGCTAATACAGTAGAACAATAACATGTACTAATGTTATTGATACATTAAAGTTAATATTTTATTTTTTTTCTTTTCAATTGGCAACGGATTTTAATTGAAATATAAAGGTTGACCTTTTCTAATAATAAGTCATGTAATTTCCAAGTGTCAAGACCTCGAAAAATTCTTCCGATTCTCGAAGGTTAATTGATAAATTGATGTTATGAAATTATCTCTATGACCACAAACTTTTTTTTCTTACAAACCACAATAGTTTCCTTTTAACTAAACCATTTACAATGTTTACCTTCATTTATGATTGACTATTGATGATTATTTAATGGAGATTTAAATGAGAAAAAAAAACCATGACACTCATCTAACGTTAATCGACTGTTTCTTGATTTATTAAAAAAAATTGTTTTAAATCTAATGAAAATTGACAATTGTTTGATTAAATTTTTTCAATGTTTACCACTAATTTTATGTTAATCATTGATTGGAAAATTTTTATTTGTTATTTTTTTATGAACAAAAAAAGAATAATTAAATAATTTTTCAATCTTATGTCCGGAATAATATTATTATTTACTAGTGGGATATGTTGGTATACTTTTTGAATGAATGCGAAATTTGTCGAAAAACCAGATTGGTGAGCAAGTACTATGAGTGTTTATCGTGTCTTTGAGTACAGGTGTGATAGCCTTGATACATGAAAGTGAGATCGAGTTAATAAAAAATAAAGATATATCGGTGTTTCCATTTATAACGGTTTAATAGCCATCACAAGATAACGAAACACAAAATTGATTTATTCAAAATGAAACATATAAATAAGCAGAATTTAATTGTTTATTTAATTGACGTAATGAAGGATTTTTTGTTGGGAATTTTTTAAAATATATTGAGCAAGAACAATTAAAGAGAAGGAAAATAAACAATTAAGAATCTATAGTTTACAAAGGAATTTATAATAAATATATTGAATAATATTTATAAAATTCCTAGATTAATTTTTCGGATAAAAATTCCTGAGAGCGAAAAAAGAAAATAACAACATCAAAACAAATTTTTTTGGAGATATCCAATTTGATGTTTGACTGGCAATTTATTATTGCTTTTAAAAATTTCTGTAGGGATTCCCTTATTTTTTATGAGTTTTGATAAGTAACGCAAGAGATTCTAAAAAGAACAAGAAGAGAAAAATTCAGGTTTACACCGTTGGATTTTCCAGTTCTCTACGTGAGATCAAGGAATAAAATAAAATACTTTTTAGAATACGATCAACTTATTGTGCTAAATATTTCAATCTCACAATGATTGGTCTTAAATTATTTCAACAATTTCCGAAGCTTTCTAAATAATTTCATTATTACTAAAAGTTAAATTTTCAAACAATATTGATATTTATAAAAATTGAAGGCTTGTAAATATTATTTATTTATTTCAATGTCATTGTGATAATCCTTATAAAATGTCATAAGGAGTGTCATTAGAGCTAATTGTCATTTCTTTCTCAAGAAAGGATATAAGGACTTTAGCTAAGTTTCTAATTTTAATTACTTTTGTTTAAATTTTATTTTATAATTGTTTATCTGGCTAAAAAAAATCTGGAAAATGGATTTTGATATCCAAAGTGTGAGTCGTCGTGTAAAATTTCAAGGACTATCAATATCATCAGTGATGCTTCATACGTTGATATCAATTTTTTATTTAATCAATTAAAAAATTTATTTTTTCTCGTTTTAACAATCTGCATTTTTTTAATAAAAAGTTTCAAAATATTATAATCATCCAACAAACCCAAAAAAAGCACAATAAACTATCCTAATGAACAAATTTCATTTCAATGTCATAAAAAAAGAAATAAAAATTGAACTTGAGGATTAATCAAATAATTTTGATCCCGAGAACTGCTATCCTAAACTCAGGTATTGACGTTAAAAAAGTTGTACTCTTGTGTATTCCAGCAATGATATGAGTCAGCACGTCGAGAATCGGCACGTCGGAATCTCCCGCGTTCTCAAAAGACCGCGTGCGCACGTCGTGCAAATGAGCCAATAGGATTGGCGGGCGTGCGCGCGTTGAGGGAGAAAGAGATTTAACTTTATGAGACCGAAGTACAGCAGGTTGGTGTAGGAGAATTACGAAAGTGAGGACCACCGCGTGTTAACGTGGACGGGGACTACCCGAAACCCCTCTCCCCCTTTCATACAGGTGGGGGGGAACACCCCTGACCCCAACATGTAGTAGTGAAGGGAGGAAACGTTTATATGCAGCGACAAACCGCCCCGATGTCGCATTCGCTCGTTCGCTTCGCCAAAGCAGGACACGAAATCTAGACGTGAAGATTTTCGTTTGAAATTATTTTTTTGAATTATCTAAGTGAACAAAGAAACGTGGATTGGTCTTTAATAAATTTGAGCTTTTTCACGTGATTTTTATTATACGACAGACAGGAGTTCTGTTGTGGAATTCTGTGGTCGTATAGAATAAGAAGAAGAAGAAGAAGGAGAAAACTCACTTCTGTCTGGGGTTTTCGTTGTCCTGAATTTTTTATTTCGTCTATTCTCTTGTGAAGACGACACAGGCAGTGAGACTCATCTAGAGTGTCAGGCACTTGGTCGTTTGAACAATATTTTTAAATTAAGAGCAAGCCTGTGAATCGCGTGAAAATCAATTGGATTTTCGAAGAAAACAGAATAAAGGAAGAAAGTTATGATGGCAGTTGCAGCAGCACAGAAGAATCGCGAAATGTTCGCTATCAAAAAATCTTACAGCATTGAGGTGAGTATTAGATAAAGAGAAAATAATAAAAAGTTTTTTTTTCTGTTCAAACTATAAGTAAAAGAAATTTCGGGAAAGGGGATTTTATTGACTACGTGACTCTCAGATAACTTTCGTAACTGATGAAAGAAATTACATCAGAAAAAGAGTAAACTAAAATGAAATTTTAAAAACAGCATAACTTGGTATTCAAATTTATCTTTCGCGCTTATTTTACCCGGATTCATCACTCTATCTTTATTTTAATCTGTCTTTCTGACGCGCTTCTCACTCATCTCGACCATGAGAGTGAAATTCACTATCAGGTGTGACGAGAAATAAAAAATTTAAAAAAAATATCAAGAGAAAGATCGATGATACTCGGAGAAAGTTTACTAAGTTTAATTGTTCATGTGTTACACAACGTCAACCTTGTGGTTGTTTTTCAACGAGAATAGGGTTATCCTCGGTTTTTTGTACATTACTTTGTATTTGCCTTTTATAGAAAATATTTATTTCTATCAGACCAGTCATTATCATGTATAATCCTTGGCCTTTCATTCTGGACACATCAAACATCATAATTATACTATAAAAATACATATTCAAGGCCAAACTCGATACTTCATTCATCTAAAACCTTTAACAATATTTTTAATCATTTTTTTAATTAATTTATTATTTACAAAACAAGTTGTATAAATCACTTTATAATTGAAAATAAAAAACTCAAAGTCCTTACTAAAATATTCAAGGAATAAAGTTGATGAAAATATTATCAACTATTTCTATCATTAACTTAGATTGAGCGCGTCTGACCAATTCAGAGCATTTCCACTGAAAATACGAGTAAATTGACTACTTGATATGTCGAGTGTTTTAAGTAACCACTGATAAATACATTAATAATCATGAATATGAATGAAAAATTTTTAAATCAAGAGAGTGGTGGTTTTTAAAATGATTTAAGGGGAAGAAAAATGTTTCGAGATAATTGTTACAGTTTAATGAATTGTTTTTATTTTCCGGTATTACGCAAATGTATTACGATCGATTGATTACATCGAATGTAAATATACAAAATGACAAGTAATGACGTAGAAACACTGCTCCATCAGTAGCACGTCAAAGACGCGGTCAATGCTTCGACTTTCTCCAGATTAAACAGATTCTAGCGATGTCTCTCTTTAAAAAACACTGAAAGAGCGGCTGCAGCATCGCGAATGTTCGAAACAAGTGAAATTTGATAAATTTTGCAGAGTATATGATTTATTGTCAGAAAAATGTACAATCAAATTGACTGATAAATAAAATAGTTGTAATTTGAAAATGATATCAAATAATGGTAAGGAGATAATAGTATTTTTGTTGCAAAAAATATTGTTTGGTAAATAAATATCAGATAATTTAGAATCATTTTCGCATTCTTATGCAAATGTAAAATATTTTTTGTATTCAAGGAGAATTAAATCTAATGGAATTCGGAGAAAGTCGTAAGAATGACCCCATGAAGCACTTTCCTTTGAAGTAACTGTTTGATGATAATGTATATTAATGGGTTGCCTAGTTATGTCACACGATCTAATGATCAACTTGAGACACTAAGAGGTATCAATACATTTGCAATTATTATTGAAATATTTTTTCATACAATCTGAACCTGATAAAAGTTTTTGTCTGTATAATACTTTAAAAGCATCAACTTCAGGCGAAATTTTTCTAAAATCATCAATTTTATTAAAATCCTATCTTTTAGAATAATAAAAAAAAATATTAATAATAAGTGAATAAAATAAATGAACGTTGAATAAATTATATGATAGTGTAGTATTTTTGAAGTGAATCATTTTTAAATCAGGTATAATTAAGCCAAGAAAATAATCCTGATACAACTATATAATAAAATATTCCAGATAAAATAAATTCTAACTTCTAATAATACCATTTTAATTCTTACAAATTAAAAAAAAATAATGTAATACATTTCATTTTTTTATGTCAATGTTATCATAAAGTGCTATTATTCAGCAAAAAAATCAGTTAAATTCATCACGAATATTAATTGAAATAGAAATAAATTTTTATATAATCAACCTAAAACAATTATATAAAATGAATAATTGAAATAAAATATTACAAATGACAAATAAATTAAAGAAAAGGAAGATTAAAGAAGAAAAAGTGAGATATCACGCGATAACTTGATGATTGTGGAAAATACAAGACCTTGTACGAATTTTCCAAAGGTGTAGATCGATACATCGAGGCATCACTGACGATCCTTCACACCTGTTCTATCCTTTACGTGTATTTACAATAATATCCTCCATCTCTATCATCCAAGAAATCAAGATTGAGAAATCAATCGGCCTTGTTAGCATGATAATTATGAATATGTTATAAATATGAGAACGGAGTGATTGTAAAATAGAAATATAACTTACTTGTACGAGACCCTGAGATCATGAGCTTCGACAACCGTTATATTTCTTGGAGGCTCGACACTCCGCCTCGATTGTCTTTCTTTCTCGCTCTTTGTGTCTGTGTGATCATTCTATTCTACACTTGTGATCTCCTATGCAAATTATGATGATTTAATTACTCTACATAATATTTGTAATATCAACTATTACTACTATTTTTAATTTATGCACGAGATTAACAGTTCTATGTTCCATTATTAATATTTAATTTTTTTTAGATATTCATAACAATTTTTTTTTACTCAATTCATTGATTATATTTAAATAAATTTATAGATACAAATAGAGAATGTTGATCAAAAAACATTGTTGAAACACATGTTAATGTTAGAAGAATTGCTGTTGCATTTGATTTTTTTTTTAACATTCAATAATTATAGATGAATTATCATAATTCATTAAACGTTTAGAATGTTTATAAATAAAGAAATTTTTTTAGAACATTTTTGTTGATTATATTCATTTGCTTATTAAATGGTCAGTTAATTCAAGATTAAAAATCATGAGGTTGAGGTCAATATCGTGTGAACAATTAGGCATGAGATCAAGGCTCTTTAACGCAACAAATTCCGTAAATCACACGTCTTCTATGGCTGGTGATAATCAGTTGTCTGATGCAATTGCACACTCATCGCTTGTCTATCCGCTGGCGAAGTACTTGGCCCACTTCAGCACTGGCACGCGCATACATGTTCAAGAATTTCTAAACGTTTTGTTAATCGGTGCTAGACGAACTATCATAGCAATGATGTACCAAAATTAGTGTATGAATTATTATAATTAGTTTTGTTATTTAGCTACTCAGATATTCTATTTCCTATTTAATTATTCTGGTAGTGGTCAAAGTCCTATTCTCTTTCATTTCCTACATCATTTCCCTCAAGTTCTTGAGCCAGAAACTCTGGGAATTGAGAGAGTCACTGACAGACGGAAGTTAAAGGACTTCTAACTGGATCATGCACTTGAATTTACCTAATTCGCTTTATTTTTGTTCTAGAACGGTTATCCGGCACGCAGACGATCTCTTGTTGATGATGCACGCTTTGAGAGTCTTGTCGTAAAGCAAACAAAACAAAGTGTTCTTGAGGAAGCCCGTCAAAGAGCAAATGGTAATTTTTCTTTGAAGTCTATCACTTACACTTAAAACCAATTAATTCTTTAGAATGTTTTTGAGTTTTTTTTCCAATAAACTTGATTGGTTAAATTGTTTTATTTAAGTGTTTTTTTTTTAAATTTTTGTTTTATTAGAAAAGCATGATGCATGGTTGTTTTTGTTTTTATTTGTGTAGACTCTAGCACTGATCCAGCAGATTCTACTCAAAACCAGCTGGACAATGAAGAGCCTTATACATCGTCTAGTGATGATGAACAAGCAGAAACATTGAGCTGTGCTGCTAAAGAAGGAGGTAAATTTTGTTGTCATGTCGAAGTTTATAGGATTCTTTCAAGTCGTACTTTTATTATTTAAATAAAGAATGTAGAATATATGCAGTTGCTTGTCTGAATCCTATCATAGTTTTGTTTGATGATTTTATTTGAGCATGAGCATGATTGTTAAATGTTAAATTTACAGAAGCAAAAGCAGAAGCTTCTTCGTCTGATGGTGAAGAAAAACCTGGTGACGATGATTGTAAGTATTATACAGAGATATAGAAAATTTTTAGAAATAAGTTTAGATTTAGAAGCTAAGGGTTAGGTAGTTTAAAAAGGTAACTAAGTGGGAATAAATGGAGGGTGAAACAGCTTTCATTGTCGTAAAAGTCTATCGTAGAGTCGACACTTAAATTAAGCAGAATTACTGCTGAAGGACCTTTGTACATTCAGAATTATGTTACGTATAAGAATATAATGCTTTAAAAGGAAGCGTCACTTTTCTTGAACGCACCACATGAATATAGCTATTTTCTTTGGACCACCGCACACTTTGCGCCCACGACAATATTAAGTATAAGTACTTTCTCAGCGACACTCTCTTCCGAGAGTACTTTTCTCTTTATCGACTTCATGCTAGTAAATGGACTTTGAATTGCACGATTATTTTCTCTTTAACTAAATTACAGTCATGGTCAGAATTGTCTGAATAACTTTGATTACTCATAATACTTTTATAGACTATTTAAGAAACTTTTGTGATAAAAAAAAATGATCATTGAAAATGAATCAACATCTTTGTAATCTGAATCACAAATTAACTTTTTTCATCGACTTATTTTTTGAAGATATTTTTTATCAATTTTCGAAATACCAATGAAAACAATTTTTTTTATAGATTATGGACTCACTGAGGAAGAAGTGGTTCTGGCAAAAACAATATCCGAAAGCTCGGAAAGTGAAACAACAGTCCAAAAGGCAGCCTTGATGCTACGCTTGCGTGAAGGAATTGGTTCTTTGGCTCGTATTCTAAAAACTGTGGAGAATTTCAAGGGAACTGTAACTCATATAGAATCTCGTCCATCTCGTAAAGAAGGAGCGCAATTTGATGTTCTAGTTAAAGTGGATATGACTCGTCAATGTCTTTTACAATTAATTAGAAATCTAAGACAAAGTTCGTCTCTTGGTGAAGTCACTCTACTTGCTGACAATTCAGTGAGTATCAAAGATCCTTGGTTCCCACGTCATGCATCTGATCTTGACAACTGCAACCACCTGATGACCAAGTATGAGCCTGATTTGGACATGAACCATCCTGGATTCGCAGACAAGGAGTATCGAGCACGTCGAAAGGTCATTGCAGAAATTGCATTTGCTTATAAATATGGAGACCCCATTCCTTCCATTCCTTATACTGAAACGGAGAATGAAACCTGGTTCCGTGTATTCAGTACTGTTGAAGATTTAGTACCTAAACATGCTTGCATTGAATATCAAAAAGTATTCAAAAAATTGAGAGATGAGAAAATTTTCGAACCCCACCGGATTCCTCAGCTCCAAGAAGTCAGTGATTTCTTGAAGAAAAATACTGGATTCACTTTACGTCCTGCTGCAGGTCTTCTCACTGCACGAGATTTCTTATCAAGTCTTGCTTTTCGAGTATTCCAAAGTACACAATATGTTCGACATATCAATAGTCCATACCATACTCCTGAACCGTAAGTATTTTTCTTCACTTTATATTTATAGATACTACCAGTTAATTCAGTTAAAAGATGCTTTAAAAGCTAATTAAGAGTTCATTAAACAGAAAATTGGTAGAATAATATCTGTTATATAGTAATAGATGAGATAAAAATCATTAGAATAGTTTTTAAATTGAAATTAGGCAGTAAAGAAGCTATATAATATGATCTTTATTAATTATATGTATGGTTATCCAAAGTGACCACACTTCAGTAACAATCTCTACTTGTCCATGTCATGGAACAACTTGAAAGCAATCAATATTGCATTTATGACACATGGGGGTGTTAAAGTAAGCAAGAGAGAGAGAGAGAGAGAGAGAGAGTTAGAGCGGAAAGAGGAATATAATGAAATAAAGCCAACCTCTCTGAAGCTTGTAATGGAACTCTAATTGGCTTTTAACGACACGATAGCGTTGATAACTCACTTGACAAAGTTCCCAAGTCACTCGTTTATCTTTCAATTAAATATTAAAATATTAAACAAAACTCTTACCTTATTTTATTTCATGTTACAGTGATTGTATCCATGAACTTCTGGGTCATATGCCTTTGCTCGCTGATCCAAGCTTTGCTCAGTTCTCCCAGGAAATTGGTTTAGCTTCTTTGGGTGCTTCTGATGCAGAAATTGAGAAACTTTCTACCATTTACTGGTTCACGGTTGAATTTGGACTCTGCAAAGAAGGAAAAGAAGTTAAAGCTTATGGTGCAGGACTTTTATCAGCTTATGGAGAACTTCTTCATTCTCTGAGTGACAAATGTGAGCATCGACCATTCGACCCTAATACTACTGCTCTCCAGCCCTACCAAGATCAAGAATTCCAACCTATTTACTACGTTGCGGAAAGCTTTGAAGACGCAAAAGAAAAATTCCGTCGTTGGGTTAGCACAATGAGTAGACCTTTTGAAGTAAGGTTTAACCCTCATACACAAAGAGTAGAAGTTCTTGACTCTGTGGAAAGACTTGAAAGTCTCGTTACTCAACTTAATACTGAGATGATTCATTTGACGAATGCTATCAATAAAATGAAGAACTCACGAATGTAAATTGATTCTCCCGTATTTTTTCTGTGAGCTGTATAGTTTGCAAGTAATGTTTAATTATCTAATAATTTTTGTACACTGAGGTAAAAAATGAATCTTAATTTAATCGATTAGATAGAAAATTCATTTTTTAAATAATTATCTTTCATTTCTTTTCAAACTATATATTGGAAAAAAATACTAAACTATTGATAATAATTGAATTGAAGTAGTTTTAATTTATCTCAGTGTACGGTTATTGTTTAGAATCAGAACCCAGTATTTCTTCTTCTTATTATAGAGCATACTAGGATATCATTAGTCATTTTGCCGAACCCACTTCTTCTGTATAAAGTCATTCATGATCCTTGCTATTCTGTTTCAAATCGTTAAAATTCATTTTCAGATTAAATATTATCATTTCTTCAAATATTCATGTCTATTTGAAATTATTTCATTGAATTAAGTCAACTAAAAATTATATATAAATATATATATAATGATAATTAAAAGTGAAATTTAACGTAGAGTTAAAATTAAATTCCTTTGGCGAAGTGAAGACTCAACGTTTTATTTCACTTATGATGAGTACAGTTTCCTTTATTTTTCTTTGGAAATAGAAAGGAGACTAAGACATTGGAAAGTTGAAGAAGTGAATTTATGGATATCTGAAAATCAAATTTTATGGATTTATTTAAGATAAATTATCATATAATATTATTATTTTATTATTAATATTTTATTATTATTATAATTATTGTTATTATTACAATTGTAATATTTTATTTGTTTAATCTTTCATTGCACTGACTGCACTTTGAAGATTATTTTGTGAATTATTATTAACTAAAAAAAAGTTTAAAGAACAAAATGTATTCACGTTGAACAATTAACGATAAATTAAAATCTATATAATTATAAGAGAGAATCCTTTAATTAATGTCAGTATATAACGCAATAAAGTTATTTAATTGTTGCAAAAATAATCACTAAGTATTGTGAACATTTTTGCTGTAAGACAATACTGAAAAATCAGCTCTGTAGAATTCTCCATTAATATTAGAATTAAACAAACGATGTATATTGTAATTTAAAAACATATTTAACGAAAAATTAATGTTCAAAAATAATTAATATATATTTTCAAGTTTAACGTTATTTTTGATTGTATAGTAAATGAGGCTATTGATTATTGTTAATGATTATTCATTAAATTATTAATAGAAATTTATGTTTAAAAATTGGTGTATACAGAATCGTTGGAGTTTTAAGTTGCATTTTATGCAGATTAAAGTTTAATGACAATTTACTGATAATATCAATCTTATTTTTGCACACATCTGTGCACATTGTACTTTTAGTTATGAAGAATTGCAATAATAATAAACTTTAGTTGAACAAAAATTCACTGTTCTCAATAAACCATTTTTTTCCAGATATATAACATATATTAAAATGAATGAGTTAGTTGAGCAATTTTATGTATTTATCTGTGTTCTTTTTTTTCTTTGCTCAACAAAATGGAGTCAAGCCTTTTCTTCATAAAATAACAATAAAACCTGTCATACAAATAAATTTATATATTAAAAGATGTTTTAAATTTTCAAAGTGATCATGAAATCGAATAATTTTTTGTTTAGTTGTATTTTGAAATTACTTGAATTAAAACGTCATCAAAAATATGAGTGAATAATAAAACTTACAATTATAAAATAACCCGCATAAAAGATAACCTATGGACATTTATTTATTTGATGGTGACTTTCGTATTTTGATCAATTTTTTATTGACATTTTTTGTCCTTTCAGGAGTGATTTTATATTATTTTCCCTTCTCTCGTTCATGTAAGTGTATAACATTCACTTCTTAATCGATTTTTCAAATTAAAATATAAAAGAAAATATTTTTATCATCTAAATCCTCTCTAGATTTTTGTAAGGGATGTCATTTATTAATAGACGCTATAGCTTATAGTCTTAAAGCAGCAGTAAATACAATGGATAGTAAATCCCATAAGAAAAAATATTCTTCTCATCCTCATTCCAAATTAAAAGAAAATTATCAACATTCAAATGATGAAAAATATAATAGACATGATAATTATCATGGAAGAGAGTATGTAGAAATAAATAAAGAAGCAAGAATCAGAGATGGAGAATGGGTAGAGTCTCATCTTTCCTCTGATCGAGGATTGGAGCTTCAGAGGTCAGTAAAACCTTTTACTTCCTACAATCTAGAGAAAGTTATGTGGTCCCTTTTTTTCATGAGTGAAATTTTTTGGCTTCAGGGAATCTTTCTTCGGCTTTAAATGGAGCAAGGAGATGGCTGATAAACAAAATAACGATATTTTACATTTAGATAATGACGCCATCAATGAAAGGTATAATTATGATCAAATGCCAAACGTGGAACTGAAGAATACCAGTAATATAACTGATTTAAATGAAAGTTTTAAGAAGAAAAGGAATAAAAAAAAACGTCAGTCAAAACGGATTTCTTATTCAGATTATCCAGAGGATGATGATGATGATGATGAAGCTGATCAACACAAAGAAAAATTAAGAAAGCTACACAAAAAAATTCGAACTTTAGTATCAATTCCAGATAAAAATCTGAAGCAACAGAAAGAATTAGAGGCTTTAAAAATTATTGAAGATCTTCTGAAGAATGAAAAGATGAAAAGTGAAAAGTCTAGAGATGGAAAATTATATAGGTCTAAGTTTAAAAATAAACGTCGAACTACGTCAACCAAGAAGCAAGAAACTGATGGAGACGATGAAGTAGAAGAAAGCAAATTATATCAAGTTGGTAATGCAGATAATTCTTGGCCAGAGAGAAAATCCACAACATCGTCAAGGAAGGAATCTCAAACAAGTAGTAGCAGAAGAAGTCGAAAATTATCAAGCATAGAAAATGAAGATCTTTCAGATGATTCTGATGATTTTTCATCTCCTCCTATTATTCATGGTAAGTTCAATTTTTTGTTTCATTACCTTTCACTTTCTAGCTTTTTTTTTATTCACCTGCTTTTATAAATAGATAGACAAGATCTAATAAAATGATCCATAAATTTGTTTTTTTAATGTTACTTTCAGATCGAGTAACTCCAATTTTAAAAAACATTTATGGATGGATTTTTGGTGGTTGTCCAAGTTCAAAATAAATTAATAAATTTGGATAATTTATTTTGTTTTTGCTGGGAAAATCTTTCTGGATGGTATTTCAGATCCTGGATGAACTTTAAAGATCAACAAGAATAATCAACAAGTCTATTGAATAACTCCAGCGAAATTTTTGTTCATATGTTTATTTTATGAATAATTATTTTATATCAAATAATTATTACTAACTAATTTTTAATTAGTTAAATAAAATAATAGATAAAATTAATTGGATAAAGGGAATAAGTCTATGAATTCAAAAATTCAAGATGACAATTAAACATTGAATATTATAAAAATAAATTGTTAATAATAAATGAAGAATAAAGGATGATCCACCGGCCAGAGATTTGATTATTAAAACATAATGGTGGCGCTTTTCGATCACGATCTTTGGCAGAGTATATGCAGAGTAAAAAAAGATTGGCGTCTGTGGTAAGCTGAAGAAGAATGGTTATCGAGAGAAGACAGTCGAGCGCGAACCAAGAAACTCGTCGGATCTTACTCACGTATTCCTCGATTTTTTTTTGTTTCCACAAGCATCAGCTAGTGTTAAAGCACGTGACCTGTTTTCGAGATTAAATATCTTACCCAAAGTTTCTAATTATGTTTCGTTGCTTTGCTGAATAAACTATTCGCACGTGCGGTTAGCGTCTTTCCAACAAATTCACAGGTTGAATTTTCCTCTAAATAATTGCTTTTCTTTCATAATTCCTTAACATCACTTTTTCAACGTAAATATCCTCCACTTAGTTGAACTATAAAAATACAATTGAAAAACAATGTGAGATAATTATTTATGTGAACAAATAATTGTATAAAAGTTTGAGAAAGTGAAAGAACAAATGAAGAAATATAAGAATTAAGAAAAATAACAGTGAAAATTTATTTGTTACGAAAACTTGAACGTTGAAATCAACTTTTAGTTAATCTTGTGAGGAAGTAAGTGAACATATTTCCTTGAATAAAATTTTAACGCTGATCTGGGCAAATTGCAGTTATAACGGTGCTAATGACGAAGGTAGAATTAAAACTCGTGCGTGGATAAAATTTAATTAGCTATCGGTACCTAATGTAGTATACGGTAACTTTTAAAAACTTTCAACCAACAAGAAAACAGAGTATGACCATGAAAAATATCGGATTAATTCCGAAAACTCCCGAGTCACGTGCAATTGTTCTAAAAATAATCCTGACACACTTCATTCAGAAATTTCCCTTCAATTATTTACACTTCAATATCTTGATGATACGAATTTTTTAGCTTTATTTATTTATTTATCACTCTCGTTTATTTTTTTTATCTCAATTATTTTTACTTGTTTTCACTTGGTAATCTCATTTGATAAAGAAATTTATGGATAATAATAAAATCGTATGATTGATAATAAATGATACCCATTGTTCATTTCATTCATTAAATATTTCAATTAATTCAATCTATAATGAAATAAATGTTAAGAAATTGATATTGTTTATTGACAATATAATAATTTGTAAAAAATGAACACGTTTTCTTTCCTTTTTTCATTACAAACAATTTGCAACTGATTCAATTGATTTGCAATTGATTTTATTTTTAATAAATCATAATATAATAAATAAAAAGAGAATTAATAAATAACTTCAATTAGCGAGATATTGAACATCATTTAGTTGATTTAGTAGTAATAAAAATATTTATTGTTAATATTAAATGAAAGTTTATATAGTTCATAAAGTCGTGATTAAATATAGCAACACCTGTTTGCTATATTCTAAAGTTACGATTTAAAAACTTTTTTAATTAACAATATTAAAAAATAGATACTTACTTGTATTTATGTGTTTCGATCTATAAACATGGGATTATACCGAGAGACGTTGGCTGATTTGCAGCACACGCGCGTCCATGGTCGCATCACTGAACTTGTACTTTTGCTTCTTCCTCATCGCTATTCTGTCTTTTTCTGTCTTACGATCAGATACACTTGGACTACACTACTCTTAGTTCTTTGGCATCATTTATCGTCGATCGTGCCCACGAAAACATCATGATTACTGACATTTAAATTTATAGCCTGAAAAAAATTAAAGAATATACGCAACTATATGTATGGAGAACAAAAATAGATTTTCTTCGATTGTTTTAAAACAGCTTTTTTGACGTGCACTTAAAACCAGTTGGTTTCGCTCATCAACAAAGCATACGTGGAAATAGAATTGTTTATAAAATCAAACAAATTCATTAATTAAACATATTCACCCAATTAATGATGATCCTTTTTATATATAAATTAAATTCATTTTCCTTTTTACTTCATCTGCTAAAATCTTTTTAAAAAAAAGAATAAATATGAATATGCAAAAATATGTGTATTGAAAAAAAAATATTTCCACTCATAAATAACATTTTAAATCAGCTTTTGAATATTTATATCAGATATAAATATTACATTGAAGAACTCCAATTATTTATTAAAAATTCATATGTTGAGAAATTTTAATTAAATGAAAATTCAACAGTAAACAAAATAAACTCAATATTTGTATTATGAATGAATGAAATAATAAATCTGATTAAAAAAAATCTTTTTCCATTTATTCAGCTCCAAATGTTTAAGAAATGACGTCCAATGCAATCAGAGGAATTCGTCGAAAAAAAAGTTCATTGTGTGAGGTGAAAGTAGCAGTGATAGGAGCACCAGGCGTAGGAAAAAGTGGTAGGTATATCATATTCAATATCTAATCATACTAATCCGTAATTGCTTTCTACTATAACCTCTCATGTTCATGGGAAGATAAAAATTTCTGAGATTTCAAGATGTAGTTATCAAGATATAAGCGATTAAAGACTGAAAGTAAATGTAATAAAATAATAAAACGAAAGTATTAATCTTTGGAAAAAAGATTAAAAGAAATATTCATAAAAATCTTATATTCTTTTGGTATTCACCGCATTCAATTTTTTCGTATTCGTTCATGTCTGGAAATAACATCGACTGAATCCAATAATTCATGTCTGTAAAGCGGACGTGGATAGGGTTGAATTATAAAACATTTCTATGCGAAAACTACCGACATGTCTTACAAGTGATTAAGCATTTGATGTTGTTATCATGCTCATCTTGCAAATCTTTGATACAAAAGAAGCTCAAAAACTAATTACGGTCATTTTTCGTCATATTGAATACAATAATAAAAATAACAACAATAAAAGAAGGTTCACTTATCAAATAAACAAATGTTCATACATAAATATTGGTGCAAATAAGGTGAAACAATCATGTGGATATTAATTAAATGTCTTTTAGAGTTCGTTTACATGACCAGAAATCATAAATAATAGAAAAAAAACAGTGAGATAGGGTTTTGATAATGAAAAAATAATTCTTTGTTGGATAAAACAGATAAATAAATGAAATATTACTAAGAAAAAAATCATGGAATGTCTCTAGTGAATAAAAAAATTTCCCCGGACGCATTAATTTAATTTTCGCACTCTCCGAGCTCCATTAAGCTCGTTCTTATCGAGAATTGCGCGTTCGTATATACCCTTCCTCCAACTCTTTCACGTGGATAAGGTCTCACATTATATTAAAATTAGCTAGAGTTTTTGGCATTGCTAGTTCTAAATGAGTGCTCGCGTTTCTGCCGACTATGCAGACCAACTAGACAGATCTATAGCAAAAAGTTTACAAAAAGAACTGATAAAAAAGTTTACAAAAAGAACTGATAAAAAAATTCTACAGAAAGTTGATGATAAAAAACAATTTTTTAATTAGTTATTAATTATCATTAAAATATGATGAGCTAAAAATGTCATTATAGAGATGTGTTTAAATTTAAACGTGTTGGAAGAATAATTATAAATTAATTTATTCGACTGAAATATCAATTTTGAATCTTGAAAGACAAAGATAAACAACTCTAGACTACTCTGAAATGTTGGGTAACATTTTTAAAGCTCTCTTTATTTATTTTTAAATTTTTTCTCAAATAGAACTGAATGTCAACAGCTCTTAGTCTTTCATAATTTATTACCTTTACATAATTTTTTTCTTTTCATTACTTTAAGCATTATTAAGTAATTCTATTATTTAACAATACATTGATATTCAATTAAAAACTAATCTAAAAATAAATGTTAAATTTAATGAATTTATTGAATTAATATTCCTAAGTAGACAGATTATTTGTACATTTTTAACGTAATATAATAATAATGTTGTACTCAAGAAATTGTAGTTCTATGCATTTTACTTAAATTAGTTTGGATGAAATAATTTTCATCATTATAATTTATTACTGACATCTTTGTTTGTTTTTCAAAAATAATTCTCCAGTAGATGAATAACTGTATTTCCTGACAGCAACAAAAAATGATGGAAATTAACATGAAGTGTAAGAATGCAATGATGAGAGATGAGCAAATGCAATATGTTGAGCAAGGTTTTGCGGACATATGATGACGACAAGTTGGTTGATGATAAAAATAGTGCGGTATACCTCAAAGCAGGTCACTAGGCTGCAGCTCTTATTTCATTTGATGTTTCCTTAATAAAAATCATTCTAATCATAATAAATACATATGTAAGTAACATTACTTAATACATATCTACAGCAGCAATCTAGCCTTATTTTAATTTTTGTCTCAATTGACTCCATTATAATTTCAGTAAAACAAGCACATAAATACTTAATTTAATTAATGAAATGCTAACTAATTAGCTAATGAGATTTTTTCATAGATGTAAAAATAAAATTAAAGTATTTAATTCAATTTAAATATTGATAAAGTAATGAAACAAAAAAAATACGAAAGGTTGATGACATTGACAAAAAAGAAGTTCAATATAAAAAATCCTATAAACAACTGTTTATGATTGTTTAAAAAAAATCAAGACATTTACTTAGGTGATGAATATTAACGAAAAATGATAAAGATATCAATTTTTAATGCAAATATTTTGAAAGCAAGTAAGATGAGAATGTTTTAGCTTTTTTCAATTTCACATCACGTGATTCAGAGAGATGCATTAGGAATTCGATTCAACGGAGTGACAAAAAGAGAAAGAAAAGAATAAGAAGAGGAATAGATAAAATAACAAAAAAGGACCGTAAAAAAGTGAAATAATAAAAAAAAAAGGAAAATAAAAAAGAAAGAAAATGTAGAAGAGAGCATGCAAAAGCCACCCGTTCTGCTTTCTGACTCTGCTTGCATCCTTTGAATATTTAGCGAGGTTCTCTTCTCTACCATCTACTATACTCTTCTCAGAAACTTATTCAACATTATTTATCCTCCTCTTTTTCATTCATAAAATCGCCTGATATTTTATCCTCTTATTCCTACTATTTATCTCATTTTTTAATTTCAAATTTATTTTCACATATAGATAGTACCTTTTTTCTTTTACTTAATGCTACTTATCTCATTTTTAATTTACCTGGTGTTTGTATAGTCAGCTTAGCTAAGAATCCCGGTCAAATGTTAATAGGAAGCTTGAGGATAAAACGTTGTTCCGTTTGTGATTCTAGCCATAGTACGCATTTGAATATTCATCGAAAAGTCTTCTCTTTACTTCATAAGAGCCCCGATGTATGTTTCATTATTACTTAAGCTTTCAACTCATTACACAATTAACAATCAACATTGGAGATTCGGATATGTCCATTAGCTTTATGAATCTTCTCTTATTTTTAAGAATTATTTTTTTTCAAAACAGAAATCCTGTAACCATAAAAATTAAATTTTATTAATTTCTTAAACGATTAAACAATTTTTTTGTATCCTGTAATAAATAAATTTCATAAAAAAAAATTTAAAAGAAAGTAAATAATTTTAAAATTAAGTCTTAAGAAGTAATTCATTTAATCTTAATCATTAATTTTCATGAAAAAAAATTCGTTTAGTTTATGAAAGATTAATTCTTACATTATTTAAGATTCCTTCGTTACTCAGTATTGAAAACATATAGGCGCCTTCCGGTTTAAAAGACTATTGAAGAAAATACCGGATGATTAATAATTGCATTTCTTTCGTAGAATGCAAACATAAAAGATTTCATACTCAAAAAGGGTATTTTAAATATGAATATATTATTTGATAACGAAATGGAAATTGCTGAGCGTTTTAAAATAAAAATAACAATGATTTATGATGATGATTTCAATATAAAAGTGCTAATAAATATGAATAAAAATTTTTTCATCATTTTTTCTTGTTGCAGCCTTGACAGTAAGGTTCTTAACGCGACGTTACATTGGCGAGTATGATCATCAACAGGGTAAGAAATATATTAAATAGCTTTGAAATTGATTTAGAAACAGTCGTAAGTCTTCATTTATTTTTTTTTCTATTTGCATTCTTTGGAGTTTCGTGCGTCTGGTCTAAATTTGCGCAACGAATTTGACACTAGAGGGTAGATTGTAATGCACACGACATTGATTTGAACTAAAATTATCCATAAAAACGATAAAAAATACTTCAAGAAGTAATCAGTATATTGTTCAAGTTAATCCAAGCATAATTTTTTTGTTTAGAAAACAGGTATAAGCACGAAGTATTGGTCGATAGCGAGCCCATTCTTTTTGAAATTCTAGACTCTTGCCCCAAGGTAATTTCAAATATAAAATATATTTTTACCAAGTAATTGGTGATTTCATAAAAAGAGAATGAATTGAACTAAATAAAAAAAACTAATTAATCTAAAGAAATGCTTATGGTTAATTGATTTTCGACTCTACTAATTAGATTAAATTAAACGTTTGAATCTGATTTGATTGGGAAACTTAGAGAGAAGATGAGATGCCGACGATGGAAATGTTACAATGGGCCGATGGTTTACTGTTGGTTTACTCAATAACGGACCGAGGTTCCTTTAACTTTGTAAGAAAGGCGAAACAAGCTCTTGCGGTCGCTGACCCCGAAGCTGCAATGCCTCTGGCATTGGTTGGAAACAAAGCAGACATGGTTCATTTACGACAGGTCAGTACTGAAGAGGGCGAAATTTTGGCTAAAGACTTCGAATGTTGGTTCAGCGAAGTTAGTGCAGCCGAACAGGTAATTATTTATCGTTAAAATTAATTTGCTATCAACCTATCAATTGATTATGTGATGATTAAATTAGTATTTCAAATTACCATAAATTCAACTGTAATTATTGTTTTATACTGATTAATTTTAAATGAACTTGAAATGAAGATAAGAGTTGAAATGTTATGTTTCTATTGGAATTCAAAGAAAGTAAAAAAATTAAAGAAAAAAATATGATTACTCACAGGTAACTCAAGTTGCCGAATCATTTCATGAACTTTGTCGAGAAGTATTGGCATCTAGGAGGAGGAATAAACAATCTCTTTTGGATAGGATGCTTGGAAATAAAGTCACAAAAGTCTATTCCCGAGGAAAAAGTGACTCTGCTTTACCTAAAGATTAATTAACAATTAAAAGTTACTTAAAAATTTGTTTGTACAGTGGAATATTTTTTTACGCGGCAAGAACATGCTTAGTTTTTGAGGAAAACTTTGTTTCAAATATTTTTCTTTAAAAATATTGCCAAAGGCCACGAACTTGTTTAAACTTTAGAATAATTTTGTAACACTATTAAAAAATTATTATGAAAATGATGTAGTGAAAGATGTTCTATAAAATATTTATTTTTTACTTGTAAATGACTAATAACTGTGAAAATGAAAATATTTATTAAGAATAATTACGTATTATTTTTCAGTATGAATAAAAAACAATAAAATAGTAAAAAAATTACTTTGTATCTATTTATTATCGTCATAAGTTTCTAAAACGTCTGCTAAATGTTCATTATCTCTTGGTTTCTTAAGATTCTTTCTCTTATTATTCGGCTTCTTTCTTTTTATTGGAGGAAGTTTCTTTGGTCCATGATCCTGCATAGATCTAATGCCTTGTTTCTCTAGATATTCATCAATCTTCTGATCATCCATCGCATCTACAGCTACAGCTCGCCATAATTTTTGAAATTCCTCGTCAATTGGAAGTTGAGTTGTTTTATCATTATAAAAGACTATTTTTTTCTTGTCTAGAGGTCGATTTATAAATAAAATTTCATTTTGTAAGCTCTGAAATACAAAAAATATATTAAATTAAAACCATAATTATAACAATAATATATAAAATTATATAAATATTTGAATTAAGTTACATATTTTAAAAATAAGTGCATAAAATCTCACCTTTAAATGTTTTTCGCAATGAGGAAGACTTTCTTGGATGTCTTCTAATAATATTCCACCAAGACCTTTGAGATCGTGTTGTTTCAGGAGCCTGGTTAACGACTTTTTGTCTTTTAATTTGTACATAGGTTTGAAACAGAATCGATTATCCGAAGTCACTTCTATTTTTGGGTTTTGTATTAAAGCTTCTGTTTGAAGCCATTGCTTTACCTATTGTAATTTATACATATTGAATATATTAAAATTGTTTGCAAATAATTGTATTTTGCTGTCATTATTTAAAAACCTACCTTAGTTCCTACATCTAATTGATTAGTTTCATCTAAAATTTCTTCTAAAGTTAATGGATGATCATCACCTTCTTGATGTCTAGTTTTCATATGCTTGACAATTTTTGCTAAGACACCAAATTTATATTGTGAACTTCCTGCCATCGTTTTGTAGTTGACAATATCCATTTTTGGTGCATTGGATCCTGAAGAGGTTTTGGGTTTCTTTGAAGCTGGTTCATCTCGAATGGTTTCTTTTTCACGATCTTTTTTCTTTTTTTCAACTCTATAAATAGAAATTAAACATTAGTAATGAATGATTTTCAGTCAATTGTATGTTTTATTATTATAAAATCTATCAATTTTAATGCATTTATAAGCTTTAGATCAATCTCAACAATAACAAATGTCGGTAGTCATTTAAATTTTCAGAAAATTGTAAAATAAATCAGCATATCAAAATTTTTGTCAACTCTTCAGCAATATATTAGTAATAAAACTATAAAATTTATTTTTACAATTCAATTGTAATTATATTAAATAAGTACATAAATATTGTGTTGTTTATTATATGTAAACAGATACAATGAGGTTACTTACGCAGGTGTTGAAAGAGCTCGTTTTTTGAAGAGCTCTCGTTCTCTCAAAAGTGCTGGATCCATTTTATTATGAAAATGTTATAATTTTATTGACAATACCTATTTTTAATAATTTGTATTTAATAATTAAAACAAAATATGGAACAGAAAATTAACTTTACGTTTCTCTTCTCTGACAACATATACAGTTGCGCATGCGGTTGAGATTATGCGACAATAGCGACATCATAGGTGTTTTGTGTCGGCAATAATAATCACACAGTTACCGACGGCAAAACAGAAGCTTCTCGAGGCGTCCATCACCGCCATCTTGTGTTAGCCCAAAATTGAGCGTCTCCGAAAACGCGGGCAAATGGCAGAGAATAGATTATTCCCGAATCTCATGAGTTGCAGTTGCCGGACGCCGGTGGACATTGAAAAGAATCCAAAAGTATTCATATTACTGCATCGATCATCAGTTAATGTGAGTAATGACTCGGAAACAAAGTAGTTGAAAGTAAATGGAGCAGATAAAACATAAAATGCAAGCAATATGTGAACAGACGGTCAGTTTGCCCGGATTTGCATGCCGTAAAACAATAAAATCATACTTTAGAAACAGTTGACTTTTTTACTTTAAGCCACTTGTAAGTATAATCTTTTTGAAAGATTTATTGTCAAAACTAATGGGTACGTGATTCTGGCACATATAAAGATGAAAAAGGAAAAATTGAAAATGAATAAATATCTGCAGCTTGCTGTATGAGGAGGGTAACGAGTGTCCATTGTAAATCTACTGCATATCTTTAATAATAATAAACTTGACTTCGATATATCTATAACTCTTGGCGATTTAGTATTTTATTCTCTTTTTTTTTAGTCTCAGATACTTTTGGTACGCATTTAATAAATACCCTTTTCTGTTTTAGAGGGCAAAAGATGAAAATAATTATCTTAGAATAAGACAAATAGCAACTTCATCAAAGTCAACATCAATTCAAGATAAAAAAAAAATATACGGCTAAATACAATGAACCCTAGAAGGTAATAAAGGTTTTATATGAGTAAAGAAAATAATGGGTTGAGAAATTTTTTTTTTATTATATTATCATGTATACGAAATACTTTAAAAAATTTTTTGGTTATTTTTTTAAAAATATTCTCAATCAATTCGTAAGAGTTTATCTAAAATTACAATCACGTATTATAGATCAATATTTGTCTAGCAATTTTAGTATCATAAGAAAAAGAGAACTGCCGGGATAGATAGAGTGAATATGATCGCACGTATGATCCTATCGAGTCCATGCCTTTCAGGACACATTAGGATGATGGTGTTTGCACTGGCAATGATTCAGATAGGTATACTTCGAGTATACACGTGCTCATGTTTGCATAATACGTACAATTGCATATCAATAAGTACACGATAGTGACCTCCTGATGATAGGACACGAGAAACAGACAAAATAAGAGATACTGCACAGATATAGGATATAGGATATGGAGATGAATGTACATCATACGAGCGATTGGCACTTTACTAAAGTGTCGTACTCTCTAGTATGGATGTTACCAAGTGAGTCTATCACACAAGAGGGTAATACCAAAATTGCTTATGGTTTGACAGTACACGCAAGCTTTATAATGGCACATTCATTGAGGTGCAATCGATGGTGAAGCCTTCCCACAGCTTTACGCTTTTACTTCAATTACCATTTTTGATTTTTAATGAACAAGAAAAAAAATCGGTAAATATTTACATCATGCTCCATGTTTTTTTTTATTATTTTTAACAAGCCTGAAGCTTAAAAATGAATTTTTAATACTTTTTGTTAATATAAAAAACTTAGAACTATTTTTTAATACAATATGTTTTTAAATAATTCTACTGATTTGTCAACTATATTGACTTGAGTTTCTGTTTCTAGTTTAATAATTTTTATATGAACTTATGTACTTTAACAACTTGTCTAGAGCTTTACAAATAACAAGCTACTTCATCATCTGAGTTTTTAAAAACAACTTGAAACTATAACTATCAACATTTATTTAATTGAGAAATATTTTCATACTTGTATTTATTTATAAATAAAATCTTCTTGATATTATTAGAATCTCCAATTACAAATAATTGAGCTGAACTTTTTTAAAAATAATTTTTGTGACTAGGAAAATTTATTTTACAGCAGATTGAAATTTATGAAGATGACATGTAATTTATTTTATATTGAATTTTGAAATAGTCTATAAATTAATATTTTGTGTTTGTATCTTTTACGATATGAACGTGATTTACAAAGTCAGTTTAACCCTTCTAAGAAATTGAAAGCCAATTGCTTGTAGCCAATGAAATAAACGTCTCTCAAGTTAGAAACACGTAGGTAACCGTTTTACAAGACCGTCAGACTTAGATCGCTGTGAAATTTCACGCTTTACGATCTTCACATTTGTTTTATAAGCTTACCGTATGTGCAACTCCATTCGTTTGTTGTCAACAATTTAAACTTTCTTAACACAAGTATTTTCCAAGCGATGCAGGTGGATTTTACGTCTCCCATTTTTCCTAAGTAAAAACTTTTATTATAAAACATAATTTTATTGCAGAAAAAACTGAGTACATGAGAAAGGGGGAAGGTTCAAAAATTTTTCCTAATTTATTATTTTTAGATTGTAGCAAATTGTATTATAATTCTGTAATAAGTGGTTGATTTTTATATATATATATGTATATATATCTTTTTTTTATAGATATATAGCTGAGATAGGAACATAGAGGGTCCATTTAGAAAGTAATCGATGGTGGCAGAGAGGTTTTAAAAAGTTATATGGCCACAGCTACCGGTGAGGATCGTTTAGAACTTTGCTTTTACGTATAAAAGCACTCACTTTTGGTATATGTATATTCGGGAGAATCTTGAATGAGCTAACAGGCCGTGGAAATCCGGTAGTTTAGTTGGAGCATGTCTAGTAAAGCATCATAAGCGTCGACGGATGCTTGCTAAGAAATAGAGGTGTGTAATAACCGGAGAAAAGCAGATATAACTGTTGAAAAAACATTTATTGCTCGAAAATTGATGTTTTATCTGCTTTAAAAACTATTTTTCTAACTAATTGAAAGAATTATCAAGCTCATGATGTGTTCAAACAACTTAAAAAAAATTAGACTCAATTTTCATTTTTCTTTTATTTTGTAAATTCAAAAGTAAGCGCTTTTAAAGGATATATACAATTAATTGCATCAATTGAAAAGTAAAGAAAATACTTGATCAGCTACCGGTGGAGACGTTGAGCTTAGCAGCTATGAAGGAAAAAGATCAACATAACTGATTTAGTCAGGATACGTAACACACTTGATCTCTTCGGTTGATTAATTTTCTTCATTACCAAACGATTAGAGTTGGATTTTCAAGTCTTCTTTTATTTACAGCATCTAGAATCACTTATATTTTATGATAAATTCTTTTTTTTTTTTAAGCAATGAAAATTAAATAATCAGATTTCTGAATAAATTGTTAGTGAAAGTATTTTAATGGTAACTAATTTTTTTTTTAGTTATTTTTTCATCAAATATTTTATTTAGTGTATAAAATAAATTCATTAATATTACAGATTTTTATTTATCTTTCTCATTTACATAAATAGAAATAAAATTGGTGTAATTTTTTCCTAAGTAAATTTTGTTTATAGGAGAAGTGTATACACTAAAAATATAAAAATATTGTATTATGATTTTCGATTTTTCAAACTTTATCACATGATGCAATGAAAAAATAAACAATAATTTTTGGTGTTACAGGTGCAGAGTACAGAATATAAGATATAAAGAAAATGAAAATAGTTAAGAAAGAGCATCCTGTCGTTCTTGAAACATTACATCAGTATCGCAGTATCAACTCATGCTCTAGAAGAGTCTCACGCGCGTTGTGTGACGTAACATGCGCGTTAAGCGTACCCTGCTTCCACCCCGTGGGTGTTAGGGTGGGCCAGGAGTCGGCGCGATAGATGAAGGAACAGAGCAGAGAGTTGAAAGAGATGGAAGAGGGATGCTGGGCCAGTTTATACGAGAGCTTAGTTCACGCGAATATAAGCAACGTATTTTAGTTTGTGTTGGACTACGGAGAGTTGAAGATGCTCCCGGTTTGCGTCGAGGGAGGAGCATCACCTCCGATCACGGCGTCCACCACGTTAATTAACATACCGTTAAATCGTGGTCCGCGAATGTCACGTACGCGAGTTAAACTTATGTCTAGTGCTTCTAACATCATCCTTTTACTGGTGACGTTGATGGTTGTGCCTGGGATTTCTGCGGCTGCACTGGAAAAAATTTCCATAGGTGAGTGTACAGTGTTTTTTAATTTTGGTATTTAGAGAACATTCTTGTTTTAGGCAATTCCTAAATTAGTATTTTAATACAAAGATTATTCATGATAAAAAAAAGTCTTTTTATGAAGTTGTCCACGTGCGTTGGTGAGTGCAAAGGGTGATAGGATTTAAATATAATAGAAATGGGTTATTATAAAGAACTGTCATATGTGTTTGTTGGCTTTGTGTTTCTTTGATACAACACTCCAACCTGTCAAGTGTCCTGAAATGTCCTTTGTCTTTACTAGTAACATTTCTCATCTTTTTTTGGGATGCTAGAAATGATAAACAGAAATAAGGTTAAACGTAAAGTTAAACTATTCAAATAAAATATGTCAAGAATTGTTGATGAAAGGTTTCATTAAGTTTATTGTCAAGTCTACATGAGATAAGTGTTGAAAGAAAAGAAGTAACGTAAAAAGGAATGAATAGTGAGATTAAGAAACTTCTTCAGCTTGAAAGTTTTAGATGTCGATGCAATTGTAAGTTAGGAGAAGAAGTTGAACATTGTGTGAACCTGATGCATATATTTTGCAGTTTTATTTTTCTTTCTGTATTTTTAAAAACTTTTTAAAAATTTTATTTGTTTTTTTCCACATATATTCCTTCATTTATTAAGCCAAATGTACATTGAAATCATAACAGATGATTTTATCGTAGGAATTTTCATCTCATTTATTGATCCTTTACTTTTTGTTTACTACATAGTTTCAAGTTTATTTTTTATTGTGTGCTTTTTATTTCATGTTTACTGAAAAGTAGTATGTTTTTAAATTAAATTTATTTTAAATGATTCACATTTTTATAATCGACATTGGAAACATGCCACTATCTCGATATTCAAAGTGATCTTGATATCTATATTAAAGTTCGAAAGATAACACGAATTTAGTACAATTGGACTTATGCCATCATTTCAATATTTTCTAATACACTCAACATTATGACTTTTCTCCAACTTTTCTTTCATATTTATTTATCTGTTTGGTTGAAAATGAAATTCAATAGCATATTTTATCAATTTCTCTACAATACTTTTTGAAACTTTATTGAAAAGTATCCAAATCAACTTCTTAATTACTTTTCATTCTTCCTAAATATTTTGATTTTTTCTTCTCATTCCTACCAATGACTTAATTAATTTTTCAATTTTTAAAATAGAAAACAATTCATATTTTTCTGATTTTTATTTTTAATAAAAAACAGAATTGGTAACATCCAAAGTTTCAGGAATTTTTCCACAAATTTTTATTTTAAATTTTTGCCCTTTGACATTCAACAAATATGACCATTTTTATTAAAGTTAGTTGTTATTGTTAATTAATTCAATAGATTTTTTATGTTATTTACTTTTGAATATTTATGTATATAACAATGTATCGGCAATAATATTCATTAAAAAAAATATACAATTTTTCAACATGAATAATTTCAATTAAAAATGAATTTAATGGTTTTAAGAGCATATTTGAAGTTTTTTCTATACTTAATTTGTAAAAACTGCTAAATTGAATATTCGGAGCTTCTCGATTTTCAGTGATAGTCTCTACTCTATTTACTATATCACTAGTAACATCACTAGATGAAACCAATCGTATTTGAACAGTCGATGCTTTTAATCAAGGCTCACACACGTTGGGAACCGGATTTGAGAAATATCTGGCAGATACATATAGTATTTTGGAGAACTAAGAGACATGCAGGGTTGTAGAATAAGCGAGGTAGTAACAACTAACGTATATAGTTTTCGCTGAATATGCGAAATGTATAATTATTCGCATAAGCGCATTAGTATAGCAGTATTATCGTTAGTGTTCCAATTTCTCGCCATCAACCTTCTCTCTCTATCGCTCTTTCTGTTGTTGACTATTTCTGAGCTTTCATCTCCCTCCTATATACGAGAGAAATTTACTCAGAGATCGAATGACAACGATACGCTACTAGTTACTCTTGTCACTCGCCACTTTATGGTCCTTTCATCTCGATGTCAAATTCTCTCTATCTCTATATCAATTCTCCTCTGCTGTAGACACTCTCAATACTTGTTCTATTATTTTTAATAATCATTTTAACGTCGATAAAGACTTCTAATTGCTAGCATTCATTATTTTTTTTTGATTAAAAACTTATTTATTATGAAACTTTTATTAAATTTATTTACTACTAAATAAAAATGTCAGCAAACTAATTTTATTGAATTTTATTTCAACAATTAAATTTAAAAAATAATTATAGCATAAAGTAGAGGCATTTAAAACTTTCATGTTTGTATTCAATTTATCTTTAATTTGAATTATTCATCCATCTTTATTAATTTCCAAACTTCGATAATTGGCAATCAATTTGTCATTTTTTAATTAAAAATTTTTACATTAAATAATTTTTTTAATCAGTATTTATAGAGCAATTATAATCATTGATTAATAAGAGTTGATTTTTAAAATCATTTCATTGAAGTTGTAGTCTTGATGACAAGCTCGATGTTATAATCCAATAATTATGCTAATAATGAATAAAATACGAAAGGTAGAGTAAAAGGTTTAGATTACTATCAATGGAAATTGTAGAGTGAAATTCTAAAATAACTAGTGGAGGAAGGTATAGGATAAACCAAGATAAAGGTAAAGGAAAGAAGGGGTTCGGATTGCGGAAAATGAGTAGAGAGTAGGATGAAAGAGGAGTGAATGATGACTACCTATAGAAATACTGATGTCTCGTTTTCTCTCATGGGAGTCCAGTTGTTTGGAAAAGGTATAGCCGCTTGGTTGGTGGCTGATGGGGAAAAAGCACGAGTAAGAGGGTTGTTGCTGGTGGCATAGGCAGTATCTTAGTGAACGCTAGATTCATACTGGCTTGCCAACATACTTTGTACAACCCTTTCTTTCTCTCTTTATCTTTTTTATATTCCTGTCCTCTTTGTTTTCTCTTCTTAATTCCCTTCTTTCTCTTAACTCTCGGCTTGAATGCAACTTCACCATCAGGAGACACACTCTTGACTCTCGTGAAGCGTGATTTAACCAACGGTGCACTTTCCACAGGTCCTTGACCTCAATGACGAGACTTTGGCACGTGTTTCATCGTCATTATCTACAAAAAACATCACCATTCATTTTTTTCCTTCTATTTATTTCTCTCATTTTGTTTTAATTAATCAGTTATGAAGGTGTTTCTAATTTTTTTTTTTTTCAAACATTATACTATACTCAGTCTCAATGAATAGAGCTGTTGATAATATTTAAGTCGTTTTTAATTTATTTAAAGTGTGAGTGATTAAATAAAAAAAAGCTTAGGAATATTGAAGCTGAACCAAATATTCATCCGAGTCTTATTATCATTTTATCTTTTTATCATGATTTTAAACTTCTTTTTTCATTTTTATTATCTTTGAAAGTCTACAATAAAGTACTTCTTTTATTTTTCATCGTTTTGATTTAAAAAGTATTTTTATTTTATTTTTAGAAGAAGAAAAATCTTTATTGCGTTTAAATGTATTTAGTCGTTTGTTATAATTTTTTATATACGATAAAAAAATTATATTTATAGTGTTAAATACATTTATTTAGATAAAATATTTTATTACATTTTTTTTCTTTGGAATTACTATGAAAAAAATTAGTCTGTCGAATTTGTTCCATTATTATGTTGGATAACATATGGTTGTTTATTTTAATGTATTGAAGTGAATTGGAGGGTGAGTAGAAGATGTCGATCATAGTCAGCCAGAATCAACTGACATTCTATGTTTGTTGGTCAGTTAGGAAAAAATACAGAACTGTTTTTGGTCTCTAAACATTTGCATTTCGTTTATTTGTTAGGATTGTTTACATTGTTTTCGAACATTATTATAAAAAACAATTTTTCAAATAAAAGTCAATCTAAAGAAAAAACAATATATAATCTATGAAAAGGATAAATTAATTGATGATGAAAAAGGACAAAATAATAAATAAAACAGTGTAATAAATGGGTTAGATTAAATCTTGAAATTAATTTGACTGGTGAAATGAAATTTTTACGCCAATACAAGAAAAGTCAAGCTGAAATTGAGACAGACGAGGTGTAAATACCAGAATCAGTTGTGCGATGACCTTGTGATGTGTCTCAGAAATAAAACAGAAAGAGATGAATCTATACCATCGATCAGCCTTTACCGAAATCCTCATTTGTTCTCATCTGATCTCCAGAGTTGGAGGGCACGGCAAGAGAATATAGAAGGACAAGACAAAAGAGGAGAGTGGATTGGATTTTCGTGGTCAAGGGGTGATTACGATCTAATCAAATGATGGATTTTCCCATTGGACTCTTGCTCCCATTTTCTTGTTATTTGATTGATACCAAATACCAACTACAAGTTGATCTTCAACTATATAGTAATCAACAAATTACTGAGATTCATCATTGTTGTTGAAAGTAGTGTTAATTAATTTGTTTTTGAAATCGTATTTCCTTTGGCTCATTAAGGAGCTTTTGTAAAAGAAAGATTGTTATATTTTATTTATTTTATATAGAGAACCGGATGTTGATGTAATACCATGGAAAATAATTACTTTTCCTTGTAGACAAATAATTATTAAAGTTACTTTATAATTGTAATGGAGGAAGCAAATTGTTAAAAAGACTTTAAAATTTTTTATGATTCATAAATACTTTGACTTTCGTCTGTTTTCAAGAAATAAAGAGCAAAGTAATTCTAATAGTTTGAGAAATAAAAAATATTTTATGGGGTATTTAAACTTGTAGATAAGAACAATGTAAAAATATAGACTGTTCTGTAATATTAATTTAGATGAAGGAAAAAAATTTTCTATCGATAAAGTGATAAAATAGTATTAATAATTCACTTTTCATTTCTTTTTATTCAAAAAATTAATGAGCTGATTATCTTAAAATTATTGATCATGAAATAAACTAAATGAAAGTGATAATTTAATGACATGGTATTTTAAATAAAATACCTATATTTATCTATTA